GATCCTTTTGATCATAAGCGTCCACGACGTCTGGACAGTCTCGTCGAAGTAGCACCTCAAACTCCCACGACTCTTCGGAGTTTGGGTATCCCACTTCACAAGATATTGGGTGAGATTCTGTCGACGACGTCGACCCACAAGACGTTCCAGGTGGTAGTTGACGCCACCATTCTAATCGAGAAATATCGGCGGCGGGCGATGACGACTTGGCCGACCGACGTCCGGTGACTCGCAATGCTCTTCGAGTGTTGGAGGACACCTCGGCACTCTGCCGAGCATCTTGCTGAGGTCGCCTACCGCTGTATGGAAAACCTCGAGATCCTGGAGCACTTTGCGCACTGACGGTTGACTTCTGAAGTCCATGATGTCAAAAGACACGATCACCAAACAGCGTGGCTGTACCCACAGTGTCGACGATGTCCGGATGAGCCATCTTGATCAAACAGTCCGCAAAAACCACCACACCCGTGTTGACCGCCGAGTCCTTCGGCAGGCCAAACACAAAGGCCATACTCATGGGCTGCCGACCGGTGAGCTGCCAATATTGGTGGTCCAAGCGGCTCGAATGGGCGATCTCATATGTGCGCACGTGAGAGACGTATCAGATAGCAAAACCTCTCCGAATGCGGCGGCGCCGCTGGCTAGTTTACCGGTGAGATCGGGTGATCGCCTTCGAATCTTGCCAGCTTAAGGCTGCTGAGAGGAACCACCCAGACCACGACAAAGAACTACTTGCGATGAAGTATGTACTTGTCAAGTTCAGGTTGCACCTGCTTGGCTCTAAGTCGTTTGTGCTCGAAACGGATAATACGTCATTACGCACTGCGACTCAGTTGCCTCACCGCTTACAGAGGATGGCCAGGTGGCTCTCATTCTTTGCGGAATATAACTTAGAGGTGAGATATTTGCCAGGAAAGCAGAATGCTTTGGCTGATGCGTTGTCACGCAGACCGGACTATGATCTTGCTCATATCAGACGGTGACGTTGTCAGTGACTGATTTGATCGGCGCCGCATACACAGGTGGCGGTTTGTGTGTAGCGCTGCTACAGGCTCTCGGAAGCAAGGATTCTGCAAACTCGGACCAGAAATTGTTGACGCGTTTGCGCGCACGGTTACACCGATATTCGTTATATAACGGGTTGCTGTGTTATAGCACCAATCTAACGGATACGCCACGAAAAATGGTTCCTCACGATGAAGATTTA